AAAGGAAAGGGCAATTTTCACCCTGCCGTTTGTAGCTCCGCATATGTTATTTAGCTCCAGTCATAATTAGGAGTCAAAGTGAACATTTCTCCCAATGCCTGGCAAATGTCAGAAGCACCACTTGGCATCAATCTTGCAATGGAACTTCTTTTTAGTAAATTAGAGGAAAATATAGACTCCTTCTCATCCCCATTTCAGAACTGCTCTCCCCCCCCCCAGCCTCCACCTCCCCAGCGTCTCTCCATTGCAAAGATGGGGGAGAAGGGAAGCTTCGGGGAATCGACCCACCTCTTTCTTCCAAATACATTCAGGAACACAACAGCGAAAAGGCAGTTTTAATCCAGAAATGAAGGACAGAAGCTGTTGTTAGCAGAGTATTACAGAGGAAGAGTCAACAGCCAACACGGAGTCACCTCTAACTGAAATCTCTCTCCGACGCTCCACCTACTGAATTCAAACTGCCCGCTTAGGGCTTAGCCCCACATCACCACTAGGGGACTGTTATGACTAATCTCGTCGCCATAGTGGTGATGTCACAACGTACTGGAAGGGCTTTCCATATATAGGAGGTAGTGCCACAGCTCCAAGCATTTATGAGGAAGGACAGGGTAACATGTAATACATTGAAAAGAGCAAGAGTCCAGTAGCACCTTAAAGGTAAAGGTTCCCTTGCTCGAAAGCCAGTTGAGTCCGACTCTAGGGTTGCGGTGCTCATCTCCGTTTCAAAGCTGAAGAGCCAGCGCTGTCTGAAGATGTTTCCATGGTCATGTGGCCGGCATGTCTAAACACCAAGGTGCACAGAACGCTGTTACCTTCCCACCGAAGTGGTACCTATTTATCTACTTGCAACTTCTTGCTTTCGAACTGCTAGGTTGGCAGGAACTGGAACTAGAGACGGGAGCTCACTCCATCATGCGGCACCCGGGTCTTGAACTGCTGAACTACCGACCTTCCACAGCCTGCAGTTCAGTGTCTTAACCACTTGAGCCACCGCAGCTCCTTAGCACCTTAAAGACTAACAAAATATGTGGCAGGGTATGAGCTTTCATGAGTCACTGCTCACTTCTTCAGATGCAGCTAGAATGGGAGTCCCTCTGTCTTATTTATTGGAAAGTGGAGTGCTTTCAGATGCCGAATGACATTAACAGGCAAATGACAATAAGTAGGTGAATGACAAACAGCAGGTGTGATTGGATTTAGATGAGCTATGCAGAGGGGTAACAGGCATGGCAAAATCAGCATTGGTAATGAGACAGGAAATCTACATGTACCACATAGACAAATATATATATTTTTAAAGCTGTAGTTTTGCTACCTTCCAAGGGAAATCTTTCTTTCCGCTTCATTGCAAAGTGCATGGAGAAATATACCTTACAATCAGGACTGGGGAAGTCTCTGCGGGATGTCAGGGCAGGGAACCTTTGAAGGAAAGAATTCCTGAGAACGATTTTTATTTTTTTATTTTATTTAACCTTTGATTTGATATACCGCCCTAACCCCCTTGGGGGTCTCTGGGCGGTTTACATGAGGAGATGCTAATCACATTTTATACCCTAACTTAGGCCACATTGTTCAGGGGTGGGACTGCCTACCAGCACCCAGGTGGAGGCTTGATGTTCCGTTGGTCCGGCTTGGCTCTTTTCCCGGCAGTCTACTGGCTGGATGTTTCTGGCACTCAGGCGGCTCGGCACACAATGAACGTCCTCCTCTGGTCACGGCCACAGCCGATGGCTACAAGTGACACCCTGATTTCAGACCAAAGGAATGTCCACTCTGCTTCTGCCCAGAATGATTTGATGATGAGAGGGTACACAAAACACAGAGGACTCAATAATCTGACTCTAAACCCATTCCTTTTGATACTGTCCATGGGGTTTTCTTGGCAAAAATACTGGAGTGGGTTGCCATTTCCTTCTCCAGTGGATCACGCTTCGGCCGAGTGCCGAAGAATAGATTCTTTTGAACTATGGTGCTGGAGAAGACTCTTGAGAGTCCCTTGGACTGCAAGAAGATCAAATCAGTCAATCCTAAAAGAAATCAACCCTGACTGTTCCCTGGAAGGCCAGATAATGAAACTGAAGCTCAAATACTTTGGCCACCCAATGAGAAGGGAGCACTCACTGGAGAAGACCCGGATGCTGGGAAAGATTGAAGGTCAAAGAAGACGGGGACGGCAAAGGATGAGATGGTTAGACAGTGTCATCGATGCAACGAACATGAAGTTGAGCAAACTTCAGAGGACGGCGGAAGACTGGAAGGCCTGGCAGGAGCTGGTCCATGGGGTCGCGAAGAGTCGGACTCGACTGTGCGACTGAACAACAACAAACCCATTCCATAGATCTTCCCCGTTCCACCATATTTTGAGATACCTGCCAATCACTCCAGCAAAGCCCTGGATAGACCCTGCTCCTGTGCAGAGATCTCTGTGCAGTATCAATCCGAATCGGGGCCCCACACCCCTGGAAATTAAATTCCAAGTATGGAATTCACGGAGGATGTCTGAGTGACGGGACCAGGGTGGACATTAAAGTTGCCAACTGCTGGGATGTATCGGGGGGGGTGAGGCCTGGGGAGGGCAGGGTTTGGGGAAGGAGGGGGGCCTCAGTGGGGTACAGTGCCAAAGCATCCATCCTCCAAAACAGCCATTTTGTCCAGTGGGGCTGATCTCTGTAGTCTGAAGATCAGTTATTATGGGAGATCTTCAGGTCCCAATTGGAAGTTGGCAACCCTAGGACACAAGGACTTGGTAGTGTGTGAATGTGACAGTCTCAACCGTGTTCACAGCGGTTTCATTGCCCAAGGTGTGGACCCTCCTTCCAGTCTTATTTTATACTAATAAGTGTCTTGCAAAGCAAATGCTGGACCCGATCTCAGTCTAGCCTCCCCCCATATGCTTCAGGGGGGGGGCTGTCTTGCTATCGAAACACTTTTATCTTCACTATGCTGGAAACTTGCAGAATCAT